GCAGCGGGCGGCCCTCAGCATCGAAAGCTAGAACTGCAGGACTAGCCATAGTTTCAGTAGGAGCAGTAGGAACAGCAGGAACAGTTGCAGCAGTAGCAGCAGTGAGACCGCACAGCGCGGCTCGGGCAGGGCAGCGCGGCTCGGCTCGGGCAGGGCGGCGCGGCGCGGCTCGGGCAGGGCGGCGCGGCGCGGCTCGGGCAGGGCGGCGCGGCGGCTTGTGCGTGCGGCTGCGCTTGTGGCTGTGCGTGCCGCCTAGCGTGCAGCGGTGCGTGCGGCTGCGCGGGCGGCTGCGCTTGTGGTTGCGCGGGCGGCCGCGTTTGCAGCTGTGCGTGCGGCTGCGCGTGCGGCTGTGCGTACGGCTGCGCGTGCGGCTGCGCGTGCGGCTGCGCGTGCGGTCGTGCGTGCGGCCTAGCGAGCGGCCGTGCGTGCGGTCGTGCGTGCGGCCGAGTGTGCAGCTGCGCGTGCGGCTGTGCAGGTGGCTGCGCGTGCGGCTGCGCTGGCGGCTGCGCGTGCTGTCGTGCGTGCGGCTGCGCGTGCGGCCTATCGTGCGGCTGCGCGTGCGGCGAAGTGGGCGGCTGCGCGTGCGGCTGACGGGCGGCGCGTGCAGCTGGCATAGGGGCGCACGACGGCGCTAGCAAGAGGGACGCTCGACGGCGCGAGGAGGAGGGGCGCACGACAGCGCTAGTAGAAGAGGCGCTCGACGGTGCTAGTAAGCGGGGCGCTCGACGGCGCGGCGGAACGGTGGGCCCTAACCAACGTGGGTCCTAGGTCCTGACCTAGGCGTCGGATAACAGACGCAGCTACCTGAGGTGACTCAGTGGTCAGTGTGTACAGGTCCGACCCCGGCTGCCGAGTGAAAGTAGCCAGGTGGCGACCCGTCCTAGCACACGTGCAGTGTGTCACACGCTCGTAGGCAGGGGTGAACTGGTGGACATTTCAAACTCTGTGAAAGGCACACGTGAGTGACCCACCTTCATGTCGCTAGGAGATCTTTGAACATTCTTCCAGTGGGCAGCACTTGCGTAGTAGGTTTAATCAAGTAAAAAACCAAAACCAAAACCAATCTAGTGTGTGTTGTGTGCATGTGATCTTTGAGACTCACTCAAATGGACGGGAGAAATATTTACTACCTGTAACCAACTGGATAGGAGTTTCCATAATCCTAGACGTTCAAGGCAAAACATTTGTGACCTTTGCATCAGAATCCCCTACACAGTGCCAAAAGAAGGTTCAGGGAAGAAAAAAAAAAGATTGGGGAATCATGAATCAGTACAGGTTCTGGTCGTGGTGAAAACATGGAGAGAGGCTTTGTAGAGGGGCAACCGTTGGGGATATAGATCGAAGGATGAGTTTAGTGAGACGGAACAGAGACATACACAGAACAAGCTGATGCGGAAAAGTTGTGTGCTTCAGTAAAAAGCACGATATTCCTGATATCAAACACTCACCCCACTCGCTTGCCCATACCTGGAGGGCTTGCCCATACCAGTCCAAGCATGGCCCATCATCCCACCCGCAAACAACCATGACCCTCCTTCCCCATGCATCCATGCTCACTGCTGCACACCCTCCCCACCACCCTACCCCACCTGGAAGCTTGCCCACATCCCTCCTCATCCCACCTGAAACCATGGCCTCTTACCCATGCTCACGGCTGTATTCTCTCTCCCCAGCATCCCACCCATCTGTAGGGTCTGCCTATCCCAAACAGCACCCTATCCCACCTGGGGCGCTTGGCCACGATCCAAGCGAGCTTCTGCCGGAATTCCTTCTGGTGCCACCTGATCTCCGCCTCCTGGAACTGTGGTCCTTTCCTCACCCTTGCCCACTGCTCAATCCCATCTCCCCATCATCCCACCATCCCACCACTCACCATCCCCCACATCGCACCATCCCACCACCTGGCGCGTTTGGCCATGATCCAGGCGAGCTTCTGCCGGAAGTCCTTCTACTGCCACCTGATCTCCGCCTCCTTGCTGCGCAGGCGCTTCAGCTCCGCGCCCTTCCAGTAGTGCGACCTTGCCCGAGCCACGCGGATGGCATTGTCCGTGCGTAGCTTGATCTTGAACCTCTCAAAGGTGGGGAGGGGGGAGGAACGGCAAGGGGATGTGAGTGATGTCCGCCACGCCACCTTGGCACTTCAGCTCCGCCCCCTTCCAGTCGTGCGCCCTCGCCCTCGCCACCCTTATCCCATTGTCTGTGCGTAGCTTGATCTTGAACCTGCAAGGGGGAGGGAGGAGAGGTGGTGGGTTGGGGGGTTGTGGGGGGTTGTGTGCCGGCGTGGGTGGGGAAGAGGGGGACGGTGCGACAAGGGGAGGCAGCAGCAGAGGAGTGATAGGCTACGCTTTCCCAGAGGCTGTTCCCCGAGGCTGCTCGCCAAGGCTGTTCCCCGAGGCTGCTCATCGAGGCTACTCCCCGAGGCTCATGCGTGCATGAGAGCATGGGTGGGTGAGAGCATGGATGGGTGAGAGCATGGATGGGTGAGAGCATGGATGGGTGAGAGCATGGATGGGTGAGAGCATGGATGGGTGAGAGCATGCCTTCCTTGATGTTCAGCACCCCCCTTGCCCATCTTCCCTCTCCATTATGCTTCACTTCTTGATGGCTCGATCCACGTCGCCCCTCCTCACCTCAACAAACACGCTCCTCGCTCCTCTCCCTCCTCTCCCATCGCTCATCTCGTAATGCCTTACCCTCGCCCCTTTCCTCTCTCCCCGCTCCCCAATCACTCACTTCTTAATGGCTCGATCCATGTCGCCCTTCTTAACCTCCGCGAACACGCTCCGCGCTATCCCCGCACACCCATTCCTCACTTCTTCATGCCTCACCCTCTCCCCCTTCCCCTGAGCCGCACTCACTTCTTGATAGCTCGATCCACGTCGCCCTTTTTCACCTCAACAAACACGCTCCTCCTCTGCCCCGCGCCCGCCGCCCGCGCCGCAACCAATGCGCTACGCGCGCCTCGCGCAGCTACGGCGCGGCGGAGGGCGCGCGACCGACGGCGAGCACACGCGGGAACGTGGCGAGGGTGCTGAGTCGGTGCCTCTGGGACGAAAACGTGTCGAAGCTTTGTGGCCGGGATGATCGGGAAATCGACGGCCGGGAGGCTCGCGGAGCTGATCTGCCTGCGCCTGCGATCCAATCAGCGCCCGGCGCACCTTGCGCCGAGATCGAAAAGCGCGGCGCGCATGACGCGAGTTGGAAGCGAGCGAGGAGGTCTGATGCTGCTAATGGTGCTGGCAGTGGCGGCGACGCGTGAGAAGAGGACGCGGCGGCGGAAGGCCGTGCTGGGGGTTGAGGGACGCGCCGCATCGACACGGCGGACTCGAGAGAGGCGGCGACGCACGGCATGCGGGGGAGTGCGGGGCGGGCGGTGAATGCGGCGGCGGTGGTGGTGAAGGCGGAGCGCAGATAACACGCGGATGAGCGAAGAGCGGAAGGCATGGCTTCCTGACCACGCGAGTGGTGTGGTGTGACCCGCGATTATGGTACGGTATGCCTGACTGGCTACGTACACGTTAGTACTCACGTTCACTAGAAATATGAGCCCCACATTTATATGGTGGAAGCATTCATTCAAGCTGACACTGCTGATATGGCTCACAAAGAATTCTATCAGCCAACCAAATTTCTGTATTCTTTGTTGCTCTTTTGATTTCACTTTTATAATATCTAGGAGTTGCAATACACCGTAACGTTGTCATAGTGAGACATGTACACAACAAATCACATTACTGGGAAATATACCAGACAGACAGGTCCTGTCCTGATATGGTGCACATGAGTGCACTGAGCTGAGCTGCTGAATTTCTTGAACCATTTACACAATCGGCAGCTCCCCCTACGTGCATTTCTCCTGCTAAAGAAATATTCAAGCTTGGAAAATTCACAATCGAGACTTGGGCCTGTTACCACCTTCAAGATTACCCATTTCCTTCGCCCTCTCCCTCAAAACAAACTTTTGAATCTTGCCCGTCGCGGTCTTGGGCAGCTCTGTAAAAACAACCGTCCGGGGCGCCATATAATGAGGCAGGTGGTCGCGGCAAAACGCAATAATATCCCCCTCGCCCACGCGTGCGTGCTGCTGCCCTGGCTTGCGGCACACAAAGGCACACACAGACTCCCCCCACATGGTATCAGAGCGCGCCACGACTGCAGCCTCCAGCACGGCAGGGTGGCAGTACAACACTGCCTCCACTGCTATGCTGCTCACGTTCTCCCCACCCGATATGATTATGTCCTTTGAGCGATCCTGATTGGGGGACGGACGGGTGGGCACACGAGAGTGTTAGATGTAGGAGAAGTTGATGGTGTGGGGATACAGCATTGCTTCCACCCCTAAGCTGCTCTCGTTCTCCCCACCCGATATGATTATGTCCTTTGAGCGATCCTGGTGGGGGAAGGAAGGGTGGGTGTGAGCAAGAGAGAGGAAGTGGAGGGAGGTGCGAAGGGTGTGGGACTACAGCCCTGCCTCCACCACTATGCTGCTCACGTTCTGCCCGCCTGATAAGGTGAATTGCTTTTAAGCAAAAGGAGAAGGTGAATTGCTTCTACGGAGGCTGTGGGTCATGTTGATGTTGAGCCCACCTTGGAAGCAAGTTGAGGAGGAAATCTACATGCAGAGATGCTCACAGCAGCCAGTTTTACCAGGTGGTGCCAGCATGGTAGCACCGCAGTGGCTGGTTCAAGAGAATGATTCCAACCATTGGTGTGCTGATGCACTCATGGATTTAACAAACATGGTGGGGACATGCTCAAGTAGAAGTACGGCGTCTCACCTTTCACCGCCACCGTCCCACCTTGCACCCTCACCGTCCCACCATCTCACCATCTCACCATCCCACCATCTCACCATCTCACCATCCCACCATCTCACCATCTCACCATCCCACCATCTCACCATCTCACCATCCCCTCACAACCCAACATGAGTTCAATGTACCCATCGGGGTGCATCACAGCCAGGCCCCGAGTGGAACCATCCCCCTCGAAAAGCTGCTTCAGTAGCCTGTGGGTCGGCCGCATACCCCTTCATCACCATGTTGCCCCTCAGCATTCCACCTTGCACCCCCCCAAGCTGCCCTACCACCCCTCACACCACCCACCTTGACTTCAATGTAGCCATCGGGGTGCATGACTGCCAGATCCCCCGAGTGGAACCATCCGCCTCGAAACGCCGCTTCAGTAGCCCCCGGGTCGGCCGCATACCCCTTCATCACCATGTTGCCCCTCAGCGTCCCACCTTGCACCCCCATCAGCTGCCCTCTCACGCCCACCGTCCCACAACCCAACCACCCACCTTGAGCTCAATGTACCCATCAGGGTGCATCACAGCCAGGTCGCCAGAGTGGAACCACCCCCCTCGGAACGCCGCTTCAGTGGCCCCTGGGTCGGCCGCATACCCTTTCATCACCATGTTTCCCCTCAGCATCACCTCCCCCATGCTGCGCCCGTCTGCTGCCACGTGGCGCATAGTGACTGGGTCCATGACTGCCAAGCCCTCCAGGGCCATGCAGCGCACGCCCTGTCATTTGGGAGAGGATGGAGGGAGAAAGGAGAGGGTGGGGAGAGAGCGTGGTGGGTGATGAGGGGAGAGACTGGTGGGAGAAACTGGTGCTCCCCTACCCACTGTTTCACGCACTTGTAATCACCACCCACCATTCACCATCCACAAACCCCTATTCCCTAACCCCCCACCCATCATTCATATCCCAACCCACCTGTCTCGCCTTGAGCCTCACTCGCTCACTCTCATCCACCCCTCGCCACCGCTCATGCTGCCACTCGCATACCACAGCCGGCCCCATACATCTCTGTCAGCCCGTACGCATGCAGCACCTCGAACGCCATTGCCTTTATTCCCAACCAACAAACCTCTACCTACTCCCCACACACCTTGCACACTTATAGTCATGCATCCTCCATTCACCCACCTACCCTCCACCCTCCACCTAGCAAGCACACCCCACCTGTCGTGCCTTCAGCCTCGCACATTCATTTTCATCCACCCCTCTCCACCGCTCGTGCTGCCACTCGCACACCACAGCCGGCCCATACGTCTCCGTGAGCCCATAAGCATGCAGCACCTCAAACCCCATCGCCTCTATCCCCGCCAGCACTGCTGGTGGCGGCGCTGCCCCCGCTGTCATCACATGTACCCGCCTCGCCTCCTGCCCCCCCCCGCTGCTGCCCTCCCTATTCCCCTCACTATAGTCACCCCTTCTGCCTTCCCTGCTACCCTCGCTATTGCCCTCCCATCTGCCCTCGCTATAGTCACCCCCTCCACGCCCCTGGGCGCGCTGGGCAGCGAGGAAGGGCAGGCGGAGGGAGTCAGGCGCGTGGATGAGGAAGGAGAGGACCACGGGGGCTGCACACATGTGGGTGACGCGGTGGCGTGGAATGAGAGAGAATATGCTGGCCGCTGTCACCTGGTGGGGAGGGGAGGGGACGCATGGTTGGAGGGAGTCGGGCGCGTGGATGAGGAAGGAGAGCACCACGGGGGCTGCACACATGTGCGTCACGCGGTGGCGCGGAATTAAAGAGAAGATGCTGGTCGCTGTCACCTGGTGTGGGGAGGAAGGGCAGGCGGAGGGAGTCAGGCGCGTGGATGAGGAAGGAGAGGACCACGGGGGATGCACAATTGTGTGTCACTTGGTGCTGGGGGATATGAGAGAATATGCTGGCTGCTGTGACCTGATGGAGTGGGGGTGAGGGGGGTGGGTGGGGGAGTCGGGGGCGTGGATGAGGAAGGAGAGCACCACGGGCGCGGCACACATGTGGGTGACGCGGTGCCGGGGACCGAGAGAGAAGATGCTGACTGCGAGGTAGGTGGGGAGGGGGTTGGGTGAGAGAGGAGGGTGCGTGGATGAGGAAGGGGAGGACGACAGGAGAGGCGCACATGTGTCTCACTCGGTGGCGAGGGATGAGTGAGAATATGCTGGCTGCTGTCACCTAGTGTGGTGGGGGGAATGGGTGCGGAAGTTGGGTGCGTGGATGAGGAAGGAGAGGACGACAGATGCTGCTCACATGTGTGTCACTCGGTGGCCAGGGATGAGAGAGAAGATGCTGGCTGCAGTCAACTGACGAAAAGGGAAGGGAAGGAGCATGTGTAGGAGAGGAGGGTGTGTGGATGAAGAAGGAAGATCAGCACGAATGCGGCATAACACAAAGCGGAGGATGACCGTGCGGCTGGTTAACAACTGGCCCATGGAGGTCAAGACTTTTGGCGAACCGAATCACGAATTCTCGATGGCATGCACTTATTTGTGTTGCACAACGTCCTTCTGGTCTGGGCTTCTTGCGCTACCCTACTCGTGGGTAAGATGGAAGACATGCTCCCGTGGCTGTCCGATCTTCGCCATTCTTGTCGACTGAAGGATCCATACGACGGGTCCTCCTACTCTTAGAAGCTCGGTCTTCCGGTAGTGGCTGAGGGTGACCCCACCTCCGAGCGCATCCCTGCTGTGATCTGGCTTCCTGATGAGTAGGAGCCAACGCTTTTGAATCTATTATGTCACTCTTGCACAGTGTGCTCCAGCAACCACCGCATCAGTGATCATGCGTGCTTCGTGCTCACCTGCCGGCAGCGCCTTCCCAATAAGCACACCATTTTGGTGGCTCAACTCCAAACCTAATTTATTGTATATGTATATATCCTGATGAGCCACCAAAATGATGTGCTTGATGGAAAGGAGCTGCCGGCGGGTGAGCACGAAGCACACGCATGGTCAGCGACGCGGTGGTTGCTGGAACACTCCGTGCAGGAGTGACAGAAAAGATTCAGCAGCGCTGGTTCCTAGTCATCAGGAACCAGAGCACAGCAGGGATGCGCTCAGAGGTGGGGTCACCCTCAGCCACTACCGGAAGACCGAGCTTCGAAGAGTAGGAGGACCCGTCGTATGGATCCTTCAGCCGACGGAAACGACGAAGATCGGACAGCCATGGAAGCTCGTCTTCCATCTTGGCCGAGAGTAGGGTAGCGTGGAAGGATTCCTGTGAGAAGCCCAGACCAGGAGGACGTTGCGCAGCACAAATAAGTGCGTGCCATCGAGAAGTCGTAATTCGGTTCGCCAAAAGTCTTGACCTCCATGGGCCAGTTGTTAGCCAGCCGCACGGTCATTAGGAAAAGTATGCTAAAAAAAACTGCGCGCCTGGCTAACAACCAGCCACACCCCACCGTGCCACACCCCACCAAGCCACATCCCACCAAGCCACACCCCACCAAGCCACACCCCTCCACGCCACACCCCTCCACTCCACAGCCCTCCACACAACACCCCTCCACGCCACACCTCACCACGGCACACCCCTCCATGCCACACCCGACCGTGCCACGCCCGACCGTGCCGCGACCCACCATGCCAGAGCCCACTGTGGCACACCCCACCATACCATACCCGACCTCGCCACACACCTTCCTCCAGCACACGTTGGTGCCAACAACAGCGGCGAGCACCCAGGGGTAGGTCCAGCCATTGCAGTGGAAGAGAGGCCACACCTGCTTGCAACACACACCCCCCCAATACACCTCACTCTGCCCCTCCACATACCTCCCTGCAACAAACATTCGTGCCAGCCACAGCGGCGAGCACCCAGGGGTAGGTCCAGCCGTTGCAGTGGAAGAGAGGCAGCGTCCACAGGTACACGGGGCGCTGTCCTCCTGGCAGCGCGTGCAGCCCCCACGCTAGCACGTTCGCTAGGGCTGATAGGTACGCGCCCCTGTGCGAGCATACCACGCCCTGGAGGAATGGCGAAAAGGGGAGAGAGAGTGGGGGGAGAGCCTCAGGAAGAGAGGCAGCGTCCACAGGTACACGGGGCGCTGGCCGCCTGGTTCGGCATACAGCCCCCATGCTAGCACGTTGGCCAGGGCTGATAGGCACGCTGCCCTGTGTGTGCATACCACTCCCTGGCAAAGGGGGGAACATGGGGGAGAGAGAGTGGGCGGAGGCGAGGAAAAGTTTTTTCAAGAGAGGTAGCGTCCACAGGTACACGGAGTGCTGCCCGCCTGGCAGTGCATGCAGGCCCCACGCTAGCACGTTCGCTAGGGCTGATAGGTACGCGCCCCTATGTGTGCACACCACACCCTGGGAGAGGGGAAAGAGAGAATGAGGGGAGGGGGAAAAAAAGCTTCATCAACAGTGGGAAGCGGGGAGGGGAAAGGGGAGCGCACGGGGAAACCATCGGGAAGTGGCAGAGAGGCAAGATAGGGGCACAGTGGGAAGGGTACTCAGCCCCCCATGAGAGCACATCGGCAAGAGCTGCTAGTACCTCCCCTGTGTGTGCGCTCCGCACCCTGAGGCAGGGCGGGGGGCGGGTGTGGGGGGAAGAGTTTCAATGGAAGCAGCAGCAGAGTGACACGAGAGGCAACAGAGGGGAGTTGCAGAGGCACGACAAAGGCAAGCACAGGGCACAGTCAGGCAGGCAGAGCGAGTGGGGTAGGGTTTAAGCGAGCAGGTTGGGCAGAGGGGTGACACTGTGACAGGAGGCAAGTGCCAGGAGGCAAGTGCCAGGTGGCAAGTGCCAGGTGGCAAGTGCCAGAAGGCAAGTGCCAGGTGGCAAGCAGCTTGTTGGCGAGGACAAGTCCATGCAAGGCAAAAGGAAGAGCAGGTTGGGCATGCGAGGAGAGGGCAGCACACCTTGGGGTGGGCGGTGGTACCTGATGTGACTTTTGACTCGAATTTAACGTATATAGTTGTGTACCATGGCATTCCACTCATCCTCCACCACCCCCTAACCCCTCCCTGGCCGCCCTCCCCTCCTCCCCTTTACCACTCGTATCGCTCGTCCCCCTCCCGCACTAGCTCCTCATACGTCATCGCTCCCGCCCCCCTTTACACTCCCCTTCTGTACCTTGGGTTGAGCAGTGGTGCCAGACGTGTAGTTGAGTGCAATGGCATCCCACTCATCCTCCACCACCCCCCTTCTCCTGCCCTCGCCCTGCCCGCCTTCTTCTCCACCCTCCCACTCCCACTCATAACGCTCATCACCCTCCCCCACGAGCTCCTCATACGTCACCACTCCCCCCCTCTCCCCTCCCCCTCCTCTTCCCCTGACCCCTCCCCCTCCCCTTCCTCTGTTGAGGGATGCGGCCAGGGCTGCCACGTCAGCAGCGCTGCCACCTGGATCGCTCTGATCAGACGGCTCTTCGTCATCTTCAATGATGACAACCTGGAAAGGAAAGGGCGGGTGGTAGTGGAGGATTGGGAGATGGCAGAGCAGGGTACATGCACGAACACGAGGAGATGGATCGTGTTTTGAGTCGACTCAAAACACAGCAGGGCAGCACATACACAAGCACGGGGAGATGGGGACGACAAGCTAATCTTGTCGCAGGCGTTTGCTCTCAGAGAACAGCTGCAACCATACGAGTTGACTTTTGAGTCGACTCACAAGTCAGCTCTGTTTCTATAGAGCCCTTAGAGAGAACAGCTGCAACAATACGAATTGCGGTGATGGAAGCGCAGGGAGCATAGATGGGGACAGCAAGAAGAAGAACGGCGAGAGTAAGAATAGTTGGCACAAGCCTCATGCTCGGGTAAGAATAGTTTGCACAAGCCTCATGCTCGAGTAAGAATAGTTTGCACAAGCCTCATGCTCGAGTAAGAATAGTTTGCACAAGCCTCATGCTCGGGTCGGGGTGAAATTCGAGTCGACATCTGTGTTTTGCTGTACCCACCATTCTGCCTTATTGTTGTATCCCAATGCTTTAATCAATGAAAGACCATTCGACAAGAACAAGTATCATGCTCGGCCCTCCCCCAGGCCTTGAAGAAGGAGGAGAGGAGAAGCACGCAAGTACACCTGGTTCAGTTTGCTTTCAATCGATCCTGACTCAGCAGCAAATGCAGCTGCAGCATGCACACTGCCACATGGCACATGACACATGGCACATGACACATCACACATGACACATCACACATCACACATGACACCTCACACATGACACATCACACATCATAGCCATCAGCACCACCCACCTGCGGCATGCCTGACACACGCCCCTTCTCCCTAAATAGGCCCGGCAGCAGCAGCAGGGCGTCAGTGAGCAGCGGCGCCAGGGAGCGGTGCGCCATGACAAGGCGGGCAGAGCCGTGGGCGAGGATGAGAGCGACTGTGCGGGCGTCGAGGCGCGTGTTGATGGCGTTCAGCACGGCGCCCGCCATGGGCACTCCGAAGTGTGCCTCATAGAGCGCTGGTACATTGGGCGCCAGCACTGAAACCTGGGGCGGGGGTTAACGGGGGGATGAGGGCGACTGTCCGGGCATCCAGGCGCGTGTTGATGGCGTTCAGCACGGCTCCCGCCATGGGCACTCCGAAGTGTGCCTCATACAGAGCAGGTATGTTGGGGGCTAGCACTGCCACCTGGGGGTTGGGGCACAGAGTGGGGGAAGGGGGACAGAGCGGGAAGGGAGAGGGGATGAGGATGAGGGCAACTGTGCGCGCGTCCAGGCACGTGTTGATGGCGTTCAGCACAGCGCCCGCCATGAGCACTCCGAAGTGTGCTTCATAAAGAGCTGGCACATTGGGCGCCAGCACTGAAATCTGGGGCGGAATGGGGAGAGGGGGAGGGGGGAAGTGGGAGGATTGATGCGAGCGAGATTACGCGCGTCCAGATGAGCGTTGATGGCGTTGAGAACATCACCCACCATACGCACACCAAAATGCGCTCCATAAAGAGCAGGAACGTTAGGTGCCAGCACTGAAACCTCGGGGGAGAAGGGGGAGAATGGGGAGAGGGGGAGTGGGGGAACTGGGAGGATTGATGAGGGCAACGGTGTGGGCGTCCAGGCGCGTGTTGATGGCGTTGAGAGCAGCGCCCGCTATGGGCACTCCGAAATGCGCTTCATAAAGAGCAGGTAGGTTGGGCGCTAGCACTGCTACCTGGAGGGACAGATAAGAAGCAGCGGAGGGAGGGTTGGGGTTGAGGGTGGTTGTGTTGTGGTGGTATCGGGGTGAGGGGGGTGCTGTGATGACATGGGGAGTAGAGGTGCCTGCGTGTTGACGGCGCTCAGTGTTGCGAGATGCCAGGACGGGGCTGGGAGGGAGTGGCGGGAGGGCGGATTGGGTGCTGGACTTAACGCATGGTGGATGGAAAGGGGAAGAACATGGATTGCGGATTGGGGAGGAAAAGCGCGGACACGAGATGCTGCCTCGGGCGGCGTTGCTGGGAGCAGGTCCACGCGCCACGAGGCGGCGCTGCTGGGCAACGGCCTCTTGGATCTGCGCGGTGCCACAGCCACGCGGCGCCAGCCACCAGCCACGCGGAGCCGGCCACCAGCCACGCGGAGCCGGCCTCGTTCGGCACAACACATCAAAGGACATAGTAACCTCTTATGGTGGGGTTTGCGGCTTCCCCCGATCGAATAACGTTGGAAACACAAACCAGACTCGACAGACAGATGGACGGACCGTGTCGTTCTTCCCGATGCCGCGGCGGCGCAGCGCGGACGCGAGTTTGCAGCAGCGACGGTACGTCTGGCGCCACGTCCACGATTGGTCGCCGTACACCACGGCGCATCGGTCGCCGTGCACGTCGGCGGCGCGGCGGATGAAAGTCAACGGAGTCAACGGAGCGTAATTCGCCGCGTTTCGAGGAAGCGCGTCGTTATCGAAAGGACTCGTCATGGTTGCTCCCGAGAAAAAAAATAGTCACGCGCGAATAACGCCCGAATAACGTGCGAATAGCGGCCGAATAGCATCCAAATAACACGCGAGTAACACCCGAACAACGCCCGAATAATACGCGCCCGTATAACGTCGAAATAACGCGCGGGTTTCGGTAGAGCCTCGGTATGCTCTCTGCGAGCGCGCAAATTCTGGACGAAAAAGAGTTTTCCAAAAGAAGCAAGCAGGAAATTCGGGAGGAAAAGGAATAGCAAGCAGGAACTAGGAATTCGCGAGGTCGTGCGGAGAACAGCAAAGAGCAGCACGGACACTGACCAGCTAGAGGAAAAAGGGAGGGGAGGAAGGAACCCTTCAGACAACTGACTGGCTGACCGGCTGGCTGATGTGGAAAGCGGGGTGAGTGACGTGGTGCGATTGATAGGGAGCAGGGTTGGAGGGAGATGTGGTAGGGCGTTACGAGTGCAATTGAGCGAGCGAGCGAGAGAATTGCACTATCGAAGCAAAACAGTTCATTTAGCGAAGGCATAAGCAGAACTATATAAGCTGTAAGGTAATTTCCTTTCCCTTACGCCGCATCCCTGCTTAGCGCGTACATTACTGTTTCTCACCACAGTCAGCACCGTTACCACTTGCGACACTCGCCTCGACTATTTCCCGCCACCTCGCCCGTCGCAGCCCAACCTCACGGCTCGGCTGGTAACCCGCGCTCTGGGCCTCCGCTTTGACACTTCCCGACATCAGTCCCAACCTCAGTCACAGACCCGTCGCGCGTCACCCACAGTTCGTTACCGTTACCACTGTTATTTAGCTCTCGCTCATTCCTTCGCTCATTGTACTGTTTTGCTTCGATAGTGCAGTTCTCGCTCGCTTGCTCGATTGCACTCGTAACACTTGGTATCAGAGCCTCGGACCGCACCCACACCTTCGCTTCCCCACTATCTCCATTTTTTGGAGGGGGAAGACGTCTCTCAGCGAGCAAGCACCGCCGCTCGAAGTGCTCTCTTGTAAGCACGCACGGCCACGACCGAGGCTCTCGCTGAGCTCGCCCGACACCCCCGCCATGGCCGAATTCAACGTCGCCACGTTGACGCAGGAACAGCTCGATCGTCTCGTGCACCAACTCGAAAATTCGGCACTTGAAGTCGCGACGCTCACGGCGGAACTTGACGCCACCCGCCGGCAATCAGCGACGAACGCACATGCACCAACACAGGCACCTGAAAATGCACCTGCACAAACGGATGAACCAATCGTCATCTCTTCCGGCACACCGTCACAGCATGACAGCGTGGGACAGCGCTCAGGCGCAACGAGTGATGGCGCCGCCCGGTCAATGCCTGGCATGACGAGAGCCAGGGCCGTTCCGACCGTGAATACGCCTCGCGAGGGCCGTCGCCACGTCGGATTTGCGGCGTCTGCGGACAACGACGAACTCCACGAGCCAATGCCGCTCAAACCGCAGTTCAGATATGCACGGAGGTCCGACAGTTCAGTCGTAGGTCTTCACGATGTCTTCTTCAGCGTAAACTACGTCATCTCGGACGCAGCGAAGATCAGATATGCGGTTTTGCTGCTACGGGGCCCCGCCATGGACTGGTGGCGAGTTATCGTAGCGTCGCCACGCGCCTACGAGCCACCGTCGCAAGCGAAAGAGCCCACAGGGCCGGCCGTTACTTGGAGTTGTTATGCAAAACAGCCCAATACAGCACGTGGGATGCGTGGTGCGCAGGGCTTCGGGCGCGCTTCGAGCCGATTGCGGCTTCTATCTCGGCGCGTCAGAATCTGCGCACTTGGCGGCAGCTCCGATCGGTTCAAGACTGCACCAGCGGTTTTCTCGCTCTGTGCGAACAGGTCCGCTACATGCACGAGGCAGAGCGAGTGGACCGTTACGTCGGTGTACTGAAGCCAGACATTTTGCATGAGATAATGCTTCGTGGGCTATCAAATTTCAACGAGATTCTCGCGCTAGCGGAGACAATCGACATCCTACGCCGACCAATACTGGGGCCCTACAACGGACATCGCCCTCGGGGACCGGCCGATACATATTATCATATGTATCATATGTACATATGTCTCAGAGACTGGGGTCCTACTACGGACATCGCCCTCGGGGACCGAGGTCCAATTACTGATGAGACAACCTGCTTGCCCAACCTCACCGACCCTCACCGAGTCACAGTACCGATTCACGCTATCGATCGGGCTCAGATGAATAAAGAGGGTACATCTACGGATTGCCCAATACTGATTCACGGAAAAGTACAAGGAGCAGCAGTAAAGATTTTTATAGACCGAGGAGCAAGTTACAGCTTAGTTAATACCGCGACCACACGGAAGCTGCAATTGACACTTAGTCGGTGTTTACCGGAGATAGACGCACGCTTAATTGACGGCACGCCTCTGGCCATACGGGAGAAATTGAAGAGAGAAAAAGTCAGTTGCGGGGGAAATTTCAGGTTTACATAGGAAATGCTCGCTACGACACCGGATGGGCGGAACAGTTTACTGGGACATGATTGGCTGCGACGTTACAACCCACGAATTGACTGGTCAACGGGTAGCTGCACTGTACGAAGTAGCGGTAACTGGGTCGAACTACCTCGCTGGCAGTCGCCTGAGTCTTCAACAGTCCACGTCAACGCCATCATGATGAAACGGGCTGTCGCCGCTGGGGCTGACGCCAGGGCCTCAAAAGTCAGGAATTTTACCCGATTTCCTGAAGTTTTACCCTTCTTTTTTGTAGTGACCCTGATGTATCAGCCTTTTGTTTTGAACGATCCCGATGATTCAGTGTTTTTTGCTTTCAAACACCGATTAATTAGTGTTTTGAGTTTGACGACACTGACGAGCCAGTGTTGTATCGGGGATGACCCTGAAACCGAAAACTCCGTGATTCTCGATGTTTGGCACGCGGTCATAATTCAGGTACCCACTGTGCACCGACGCCACCCTGCGGCTCGACCAGATACAGCTGAACTGGGTGATTTTGGGCAGTGTTGGCACAACGGTGCAAACTGATTGGCTGTCCCAGCTGATGCAATGTATCGTTGTCTCTGAGGATAGCCAACACTTATCATTTCTGACCTTGGATACGCACAAACACACCCAGTGGCCCAGTGGGCGAGTGATAAGCCGTATCCGTTTCAACATGCAAGGGCGTGCTGGGGCAGTCCGCTTAGCCACCCCATGCAGGGGGTCTCGTGAATCTTTCATTCTTGCTCTCCATCCCTTTCGGAACCATCCCTCTCAGCAGGCTCTCTAAATCCCTCGTGGCAGGCTCTCTCTCTCTAGCTACTACTCTGCAATTCTCGGTGTTGGCATGAATGAGCCATGGCAATCACCGGTGAGAACAGCACCGGGCATGATGACGACGATACTTGGACGCCGCGACGGAGATGCGAGAGGCAAAAACAGGACTAGATTTTCTAGTCTCCGCGCTCTCCCATGAAAAAGAGAAGCAAGCTCCCCTCACTTCAGGAGCATACACTGCCGAAGCATCTGACATCTGCCGCGGCGACGATCGCCCCCAGCCTGCGCGTACTGCTATGCCGGTTGTGGGGTCAGCAGCTGGCCCGAGCGTCCGCTTGCCATCTCGTGCCTCGTCATCGAAGCCTCCTGCTCGTTACAAGCAGGCCGTGCTCCGCTGGGCCGACCCAACAGCCCCTGACCGTCCTCTCGCCGATGCTGGCGAGTCGGTAAACCACGTTACGGACACTCCATCGAAGTCGCGGAAGCAGTCACTTACCACTCTGATTTACGAGGACGTGTTGGACTCGTTCAAGTCCACTTGATCGAAAGAGTTCCCATGGCTTGTACTAATCAAAAACACTTTTGGCCTACCTGCGTTCAAGTGCAGTTTGTGCATGGAGTTTGCTGGTGACGGTGGCAAGTGTGGCAAGGGTGGGCACGGTGCAACCGATCTTCAGACCCAAGCCTTCAAGCGGCATGCTGCGACGAACAAGCACCGGTTGGCAATCGAGCACCAAGAGAAGCTGCGAGCTCAGGCTGGGAATTAGCCGAGGATTGACCAGCATCCACTTGCCAGGGATGACGAGAAGACCCCCATCATCGCCCTCTTTGACTCCATGCAATTCACGATCCAGGACAACCTTCCGATGGAGACGTGGGTGCGCTTCGTTTGGTACCTGGCTAAGAACGAAGTGCGTGGCTTCCCCAAAAAGGGATACGGCACTTACTACACCACGTAAGTACTTTGTATTCTATCCGCGCATGCAGTGCAGTGTCCTACTTGTTAACAAGCTTATCATCGTGTACATTGTTTTCTGTCCGGCTGCAGGTACGGCTTCGGGGAACTCACACATGCAATGGCTGTGTGGCCGCAGACCACACAACAGGAACACATTCTATCAAGCCATTACATCGACCTCAGTTGTGACGAGTCTACGGAGAGATGCCGTGAGAAGAATCTCATCATCTACGCCACCTTTATCTGCGACGGTGGAGTAGTCACTGAATTTTTCGCCCTGCTAACCGTGGACAAGGCTGACGCAGCCTTGCTGGTGGGGTTGCTCTTATCCCATGTGCAGGCCGTCGACATTGACCTGCGCCGAATCACGGGCATCAGCACCGACGGAGCGAGCGTGATGGTCGGATCCAAGAACGGTCTCGTGGCGAGGCTCAAGATACGCATCCCGCACCTGGTTTCTTGCCACTGCATCGCTCACAGGTATGCGAGTTGATGCGCTTCCCCTAAACTCTGAGTTCCATGCGAATGATTTTCTACACCACCCTGCTACTCGTACTAATGTTTCTCTTGCTTGTATAAATGGCAGGGAAGCACTCGTGGCCAAGGACGAGGCAAAGTTCCTTCCGGAGTTTGGCATGGTCGTCAGCTTTATCTGCTGGCTCGCCAATTACCTCGGCTCATCTGGACCCTGGCACCAACGGTTCTTGGACCTGCAGGAAGTCTTCACTCAGACTAACCTGGAGCTCCAAGGAATACATGAAGTGCGTTGGCTCTCGCGCGGAGATTTGCA